TTTGGATTCTTTGACCATGGGATGGTGTTCCAAGAAGGAGGCATGCTAGGCAGAGATGGGCTCCACCTAACGAAGACTGGGAAGAGCATCTTTGCAAGCAAGCTGGCTAACCTATCGAGGAGGGCTTTAAACTAGGTTTAAAGGGGGAAGGAGACCAAAGCCCTGAGGTAAGTGGGGATGTGGGATACCGGGAGGAAGCACGAGCAGGAGAGCGTGAGACAGGAGAGCTCCTGCCTCATACTGAGAAAGAGAGATGATCAGCGAGTTATCTCAAGTGCCTATACACAAATGCAAGAAGCCTGGGAAACAAGCAGGGAGAACTGGAAGTCCTGGCACAGTCAAGGAATTATGATGTGGTTGGAATAAGAGACTTGGTGGGATAACTCACATGACTGGAGTACTGTCATGGATGGATATAAAACTGTTCAGGGAGGACAGGCAGGGCAGAAAAGGTGGGAGAGTTGCACTGTATGTAAGAGAGCAGTAGGACTGCTCAGAGCTCCGGTATGAAACTGCAGACAAACCTGAGTGTCTCTGGATTAAGTTTAGAAGTGTGAGCAACAAGGGTGATGTCGTGGTGGGAGTCTGCTATAAACCACCGGACCAGGGGCATGAGGTGGACGAGGCTTTCTTTCAGCAACTAATGGAAGTTACTAGATCACAGGCCCCGGTTCTCATGGGAGACTTCAATCACCCTGATATCTGCTGGGAGAGCAATACAGCAGTGCACAGACAATCCAGGAACTTTTTGGAAAGTGTACGGGACAATTTCCTGGTGCAAGTGCTGGAGGAACCAACCAGGGGCAGAGCTCTTCTTGACCTGCTGCTCACAAACCAGGAAGAATTAGTAGGGGAAGCAAAAGTGGATGGGAACCTGGGAGGCAGGGACCATGAGATGGTCAAGTTAAGGATTCTGACACAGGGAAGAAAGGAAAGCAGCAGAATACAGACCCTGGACTTCAGAAAAGCAGACTTTGACAACCTCAGGAAACTGATGAGCAGGATCCCCTGGGAGAACAACATAAGAGGAAAAGGAGTCCAGGAGAGCTGGCTGTATTTTAAAGAACCTTTATTGAGATTACAGGGACAAACCATCCCGATGTGTAGAAAGAATAGTAAATATGGCAGGCGACCAGCTTGGCTAAACAGTGAAATCCTTGCTGATATTAAACACAAAAAAGAAGCTTACAAGAAGTGGAAGATTGGACAAATGATCAGGGAGGAGTATAAAAATGTTGCTCAGGCATGCAGGAGAGAAATCAGGAAGGCCAAATCACACCTGGAGGTGCAGCTAGCAAGACGTGTTAAGAATAACAAGAAGGGTTTCTTCAGGTATGTTAACAACAAGAAGAAAGGCAAGGAAAATGTGAGCCCCTTACTGAATGAGGGAGGCAACCTAGTGACAGAGGATTTGGAAAAAGCTAATGTACTCAATGCTTTTTTTGCCTCTGTCTTCACGAACAAGGTCAGCTCCCAGACTACTGCACTGGGCAGCACAGCATGGGGAGGAGGTGACCAGCCCTCTGTGGAGAAAGAAGTGGTTTGGGACTATTTAGAAAAGCTGGACGAGCACAAGTCCATGGGGCTGGATGCGCTGCATCCGAGAGTGCTAAAGGAGTTGGCGGATGTGATTGCAGAGCCATTGGCCATTATCTTTGAAAACTCATGGCGAGAGGGGGAGTCCCGGACAACTGGAAAAAGGCTAATGTAGTGCCCATCTGTAAAAAAGGGAAGGAGGAGGATCCTGGGAACTACAGGCTAGTCAGCCTCACCTCAGTCCCTTGAAAAATCATGAAGCAGGTCCTCAAGGAATCAATTCTGAAGCACTTGGAGAAGAGGAAAGTGATCAGGCAAAGTCAGCATGGATTCACCAAGGGCAAGTCATGCCTGACTAATCTAATTGCCTTCTATTACGAGATAATTGGCTCTTTGGATGAGGGGCAAGCAGTGGACGTGTTGTTCCTTGACTTTAGCAAAGCTTTTGACACGGTCTCCCACAGTATTCTTGTCAGCAAGTTAAAGTAGTATGGGATGGACGAATGGACTATAAGGTGGATAGAAAGCTGGCTAGATTGTCAGGCTCAACGGGTAGCGATCAATGGCTCCATGTCTAGTTGGCAGCCGGTATCAAGCAGAATGCCCCAAGGGTCGGTCCTGGGGCAGGTTTATTCAATATCTTCATTAATGATCTGAAGGATGGCATTCTCAGCAAGTTTGCAGATGACACTAAAGTGGGAGGAGAGGTAGATACACTGGAGGGTAGGGATAGGATACAGAGGGACCTAGACAAATTAGAAGATTGGGCCAAAAGAAAACTGATGAGGTTCAACAAGGACAAGTGCAGAGTCCTGCACTTAGGACGGAAGAATCCCATGCATGCTACAGACTAGGACTGAGTGGCTAGGCAGCAGCTCTGCAAAAAAGGACCTAGGGGTTACAGTGGGACGTGATCGTTCCCCCCTATTCGACATTGGTGAGGCCTCACCTGGAGTACTATGTCCAGTTTTGGGCCCCACACTACAAGAAGGATATGGAAAAATTGGGAAGTGTCCAGCAGAGGGCAACAAAAATGATTAGGGGACGGGAACACATGACTTATGAGGAGAAGCTGAGGGAACTGGGATTGTTTAGTCTGCGGAAGAGAAGAATGAGGGGGATTTGATAGCTGCTTTCATCTACCTGAAAGGGTGTTCCAAAGAGGCTGGATCTAGACTGTTCTCAGTGGTAGCAGATGACAGAACGAGGAGTAATGGTCTGAAGTTGCAGTTGGGGAGGTTTAGGTTGGATATTAGGAAAAACTTTTTCACTAGGAGGGTGGTGAAACACTGGAATGCGTTACCTAGGGAGGTGGTGGAATCTCCTTCCTTCTAAATTTTTAAGGTCAGGCTTGACAAAGCCCTGGCTGGGATGATTTAGTTGGGGATTGGTACTGCTTTGAGCAGGGGGTTGGACTAGATGACCTCCTGAGGTCCCTTCCAACCCTGATATTCTATGATTCTCTCTGGAGCAACGTTCCGTTTGGCCCATCAGTGAACAGTGACCCTGGAACGGCTGTGGATGACTAGGGCCTCTTGGAATTGGTCCAAGATCTTGGGGTGAAATATTGGCTCATCAGGACACTAATGGAGAGAGACTGACTAGATGAGTGTAGTCCAGCAATGATATTCTTCTGTGTCTGTGGCTTGCATTGAGCTTTTTTGTAGAAACAACTTCAGGCATGCTTCTCTAGCTTTCTGAATTCATTTAAAGAAGGAGCGACATATGGAACTTCACTTGGGGATAAGTCCCTCTCACCTAGGTAGAGCAGGCATGGGGAGTGCCAGTCATTAATTAGCAAAGCTTCACATGAGGGGCAGATCCTGGAGCTTTAGCTTCTCCCATGCTGTTACCATCTCTGTACAGGAGAGCAAGTTTAGTCTAGCTGAAAATTTATCTCAGAAAAATAACCTAAATACAGATGTGACTAATGAGAGACCTGGGAAGTACAAGGAGTTCAAATGATTATATTAAAATGTGCCATTCAGGCCTGGATTTTGAGACCATAAGAGTTAAGTGGGTTTCCTGAGGAATCCCTACAGAGTGATTAATGTAAATTGCATAACCATGGTTATGCAATAAATAAATAAATAAAACAAATTGAGGTTACTTACTTCTAACTCTAAGTTCTTTGATGTGTGGTCCCTATCTGTATTCTACATGTGGGAACGCACACCATGAGCCTGAAACTGGAATATCTTGCAAGTAGTGTCCATTAGTTTGTACCTCTGCCCTGGAATTCCTAATGCTCAGCACTGCGGATATAATGTGGGGTGTGGACTGACTGCCTCTCCAGTTCCTACTCTACCATGAATCCAGTCATGATCTGAAACAGAGGGGAAGAGGACTGCTCTAAATAAAATAATAAAGTAAGTATCAAGAAAGAAAAAAGATTAAGCTAAAGAGGTAGCAAGCTGCATAGATAGCCAACGACACAGCAATGCTCCGTCTCAAGCTGCAGGTGTCCGAGAAGGAACTGGTCTGTCCCCTCCCTATATACTCTCATACCAGAGCACAAGGGTGTCTGGCGCAGGCATGGATCTGCAGACACTACTGACAAAAATCTCAGTTGAGCCGTGAGCACCCCCTGGCACACTGGAAAGTTGGAGCCTGTAGCTCCACCCTGGAGTTGGTGCCTATACAAGGAGCCGCATAGTAAATTCTGAAGCCACAGGTTAGCTGCCCCTGTACTAGCACATGTCAGAGAAGAAGATGGACGCTGCAGAGGTTCTCTCTTGCTGCCATGGATGGTAAGAAGGAACTGAGGGATGATTGGGCCCGTTCTGCCCTTTATGCCCAAAAGCATTTATGGCACAGGCACATCCCCAACCAACACTGCAGGCCAAAAGAATCCAACCTCACGTGCATGGGGCATATGCACACAAAAAGTGGAATCCACGTGGACAATCACTCTAAGAAGAATGAGTCAATGCCACAATATCCCACACAGAAGAGAGGGCTGCTAGAAAACAGTAGCTTCTAATTTTGAAGCCATATTCTAACCCCAGGTGCGCATTCAATAGCATATTTTTATTTCTGAACTCTCAGCAATAAAGAACCCATTTGCAAGTTGAACAACATATAAGCAAAGCCTTTTGGTAACATCCAGTACATAGAACTCTCTCCTGGAATTAAGCGATGCAAAGATTTGATTTTTTTAGCTGCAATTAGTTGCAACTCTTAAAATATTTTATGTTATACCTTTCCCAATTTCAATTTTGTTTGAGTATTTTTAAAAGAGGGGCAAGAAGAGGATAATGGTCAGTCAGAATTATTGAAAAAAGTACATATGGCATGGAGGCCTAACATAGGAATTTTAAATGTGTTGAATACAGAAATTTCTTCTGAGTGGCCCTGGGAAATACCTATATTTCCCCAATCAATAGAATTTTATGACAAATATTTTTAATCTGCCCCATCACAGGTATTTGAACCACTAACACTAAAATGAAGATCACACTCACCTTCTGAACTGTTGATACATTTTGTATCTCTGTGTCATTATTTGATCCAACAATTTAATAAACTTCTTCAAATTCTTCACTTTACCTTCTGCATCCTGATATTTGTCCTTTGCGTCAAGAAGCTGCCTGTTTTATCAGCAAAAAGATTCTCATAAATATCTAGTTAAACTCAAAAGATGCTGTTAGGACCCAAGCAAACTCCTGATGCTTAATTTAAAACCATATTGACAACCAACATTCTCTTTTCAGAAAACAAAAACAAACATATGCTTACAATCTATTAAACCATCACTCTAAAACTAACATCATGTGGGCACATAAGCTGAATTTTCTCAGGGAAGGGAAAATCATTGTTAATAAAAAAAGATTGTTCTTTGTTGGGGGAGAAAAGGAATGGTAAATTCCTTAGCTGATACAGTAAAAGCTTTTTAACTGGCATGCTGGGAGAATGGGGATGCTGGTAAATTAAAAATGCCAGTTAACTCAGAGGGAGGAGTTTGGAGGGGGGCGGGGGCAGGGGCGTGCTGCGAGGCACGCTCTGGAAGGAAGTTTGGGTCTGGGAGGGGGCTTGGGGTGCCGTGGGGGGTGGCACGCGCTCACCTCTGGCAGCTCTCCATCCCTGCTGCTCCAGGTGGAGGTGTGGCCAGGTGCTCCTGCAAGCAGGCACGCTGCCTCCATCTGTAGGCGCTCCCCCCCGACCCCTCCGCAGCTCCCATTGGCAGCGGTTCCCGGCCAACAGGCTGGGACGGGAGCCATGGAGCCAGTGCTCGGGGAGTGGGGGACAGAGGCAGCATGCCTGGCTGTGCCTCTGCCAGCAACAGCAGGGCGGGGAGCCACTTGCGGGGAGCCACCTGATGTAAGCGCCCCCACCATCTGGCACCCTGAACCCTGCCCATGCCCCAGCCCCCTGCCGGCCTCTGAACAACCGTACTATAAACCAGACTTTCAGTGCAGATCAGAAATGTTGGTTTATACAGCTTGTCAGCTGGTGAAGTGCCGGATAAAAGAGCATTTTCTGTACTTTCTTTTCCGCTAGCAGTGTCTCACACAATTCTGATACGTTTGGGCTATTTCCCGCTCTTCTACTTCCCTTCCATTCTGATATATATGGACTATTCCCCTCCTGTCTTCAGTTTCCAGTACAAAGCTTTAGCACATCTTATGCTAGACAGGACCCCTTCTCTGGTTTGCTGCCAGATGAGTCATTTCAAAGTAAAAACTCATAGAACGTGATTAGTAACAGTAACTTCAGTGACGGGCAGTTAATTGCGTACGGCAGGTTACAGTCTACAAAGGTAACTATCAAAATAAAATTTTGTCCCTTGGCTATTAAGACATCCAAGGAGGGCAGAATTGTGGGAGATACTTGATAACTGCTTTCTGCTAGCAGTAAGAAATTTATCATTCTGCAGCCCAGTGTCTCCCACAGTTCTGATATACAGAGGAAGTAGCCAGCAGTGACCAGAAGTAGGGATGGATGGAGAGAGAAAAACAAAATTGGGCAGGGAACAGCATTGTTGATTGCTTAAACGACAATACTATTAATGGACCACCATCTGCAGCACCATCTCACCACAGGAGGCCTCTGCTAAGGACAGAAAGTCCACTTTATAGTGCCTAAAAGGTGTTAGCCTGAGACCATGTTGCTGTCCTGCAGATCTCTATGGTGGAAGTACAACTCTTTTGCCCCATGAGGTTGCCACAGATCTTGTAGAATGTACCTTGATTCCACCTGGAATAGGAGCCCCTCTTATGCCATGTATACCTAAGATACAGAGCTTGATCCATCTAACGAGGGATAGTTTGGAAACTCTGAGCCCTTGGCACTTCAGATGAATGAAGACAAACAAGGATCCCAAGCTTCTTGTTCATTCTGTGCATTTGACATAGATCTTTAGCGCTCTTCGAACATCTATAGCACGCCACAGCTTTACACTCGGGTACTGTGGCTTTGGACCGAATGAAGTGAGGATGATCTCTTGTGAGGCATGGAAAGATGAATTCACCTTAGGCAAGAACAATTCTGGAGTTCTTAACACCACCTGGTCATCTTGGAACCCACAGTGGGGTTCCTGCATGGATAGGCTACCAGTTCAGAAACTTGTCTGGCATACATCATGGCCACCACAAAACAGGTTTTGATGGACAGATAGAAGGCAGATATTTATGTCAGTGGTTCAAAAGGGTGAGTGGTTATGGCTTTCAATACCGGGGTAAATCCCACTTAGGGAACACTGGTTTTGCTTGGAGGAATCTGGATACCTGAGGATTATCCACTAAGGAAACAGAGGATCCTACAAATAGTATGCTACTTATGGCTGACATCTGAAGTGCTACCGTGCTGGACTGAAGTCCCTTCTCTTCAAGAAAGTCCTGAACAACAGGAGTACTAGGATCCTTGGCATTCTTGACACCATGAAACCTGCTCCAGATGGTGAAGTAAGCCTTCAATGTGGAAGCTCCTCTGGAGGACAGCAGAGTTCTGATCACTTTGAGGATAGACCAACGCTTCCCTCTCAATACCCAGGCTATCAGTTGTATCGATGGTCTGGTTGGAGGAATGGGCTTTGGCGAAGGATGTCTCTGTTCTCACTAGTAGCTGCAATGGTGGTCCCAATTTCAATTCTACCAGATCAGAGAAATATGGTCTCCTTTGCTGTTGCGAAGTTGGCATTGTCACCTTTGTGCCTTCTCACTTTATCTCCTGGATCACCTTTCCTAGATGTGTAAAGGGCATGAATGAATATAGCAGGCCTTGTGGCCACATCTATGTGAAAGAGCATCTGTCCCCATGGACACTGGATCTCTTTCCCTGGTGAAGTATTTCTCCGGTGAAGAACCCTACTTTGGGTTCTTGTGATTGGCAAACAGGTTGACTAAAGTGAGGCCAAATGTCTACAAGATCAGAGTGAAGCCTTTTTGATTTAGGCACCATTCTAAGTTGATGACTGTCTGCTGAGCCAGTCTGTCTTTTGGTTCAGTTCTCCTTTTGTGTGTATCGCTCTAACGGAAGGAAGGGTCCTCTCTGCCCATTCCGATACTGATATTTTTTCTACATGTAGAGTTGAACTCCTTTCTCTTCCTGGTTGTTGAAACAGTACAAACTTCTGTGGCCTGTCCAACTGGTCATCCTCTAGATAGCTCTAGAACCTTAGCAGAGCTAGTTTGACTCTCTGGTTCCTTTCCCAGGAGTCTGAGGCATCTTGTGTTGTTCTGTGGCTCAGACGCGTGCTCCCCACCCCATCAGGCTGGCATTGGTTGACAGTTTCTGTGGGTCTAGAGAGCATATGAGAAGACCCCTGTGGATGTTCTCTGGGACTGAATCATAGAATATCAGGGTTGGAAGGGACCTCAGGAGGTCATCTAGTCCAACCCCCTGCTCAAAGCAGGACCAATCCCCAACTAAATCATCCCAGCCAGGGCTTTGTCAAGCCTGACCTTAAAAACTTAGAAGGAAGGAGATTCCACCACCTCCCTAGGGAACGCATTCCAGCGTTTCACCACCCTCATAGTGAAAAAGGTTTTCCTAATATCCAACCTAAATCTCCCCCACTGCAACTTCAGACCATTACTCCTCGTTCTGTCATCTGCTACCACTGAGAACAGTCTAGAGCCATCCTCTTTGGAACCCCCTTTCAGATAGTTGAAAGCAGCTATCAAATCCCCCCTCATTCTTCTCTTCCGTAGACTAAACAATCCCAGTTTCCTCAGCCTCTCCTCATAGCTCATGGGTTCCAGTCCCCTAATCATTTTTGTTGCCCTCCGTTGGACACTTCCCAATTTTTCCACATCCTTCTTGTAGTGTGGGGCCCAAAACTGGACATAGTACTCCAGATGAGGCCTCACCAGTGTCGAATAGAGGGGAACGATCACGTCCCTTGATCTGCTGGCAGTGCCCCTACTTATACATCCCAAAATGCCATTGGCCTTCTTGGCAACAAGGGCACACTGTTGACTCATATCCAGCTTCTCGTCCACTGTAACCCCTAGGTACTTTTCTGCAGAACTGCTGCCTAGCCATTCGGTCCCTAGTCTGTGGTGGTGCATTGGATTCTTCCGTCCTAAGTGCAGGACTCTGCACTTGTCCTTGTTGAACCTCATCAGATTTCTTTTGGCCCAATCCTCCAATTTGTCTAGGGCCCTCTGTATCCTATTCCTACCCTCCAGCATATCTACCTCTCCTCCCAGTTTAGTGTCATCTGCAAACTTGCTGAGAGTGCAATCCACACCATCCTCCAGATCATTTATGAAGATATTGAACAAAACCGGCCTCACGACTGACCCTTGGGGCACTCCACTTGATACCGGCTGCCAACTAGACATGGAGCCATTGATCATTACCCGTTGAGCCTGACAATCTAGCCAGCTTTCTATCCACCTTATAGTCCATTTATCTAGCCCATACTACTTTAACTTGCTGGCAAGAATACTGTGGGAGACAGTGTCAAAAGCTTTGCTAAAGTCAAGGAACAACACGTCCACTGCTTTCCCTTCATCCAGAGAACCAGTTATCTCATCATAGAAGGCATAGAAGGATGGGGTGAGGCCTTTAGTACAAAGGACTTATCTGTAACTCACTACCCCTCTTACCACTTGCCTGTGGTTGATATGTACCATTCTTCTGAGAAATAGGATCTGGGCAGGCACACATTTGTTCCTTGTCATAGTGGGTTCTTACAGGCAGTGGGACTTCCTCTGGATTTTCCATCCAAGCCCTGGTTCCAGGGTTTTCCCCTGATATGTCTGTTGTCCTTCCTCTGGTACTTTTGTGAGGATGGATTAAAGGAGCATTTCTGTCTCTTGCTGGGTTTCTAATCACTCTTCAGAGCACTGCATAGAGAAGGGAGGGACTGTTTCCATTTGGCAGCACCTTCTGCCACTATCTTATCCAATTTTTCCCCAAATAGGAGAGACTGTTAATTTAGATGAACATGGGATTTGTTTGTTTTGTTCCACAGAAGAAGCCATACACTGTATCTGGCTACTGACCTGGATTCCATGGCCCTTGCTGAAAATCTCATTACCTGCCTTAAGGCACCTGGCATGAAGGCTGTTGCTAGGAAAATTTTCTTAATTAGCAAGCCAGAAGTCTAAGTGGTCTCCGTTCTTCAGGCAGGATACTGTAA